CATCCCTTTATTTCCATTCCTGTCCTCATTTACTGCCATATGACTTCACTGGAAAATCTCTGACGTTGTCTGGCTGTAACAGCTCTGTCCCTTTCTGTTTAAGGGTTTTTACCTTCTGTGCCACATCTCTGATAAGGAGAGAGTGTTTGAGGGAATGATGGCCATTAATTAGGGATTAAATCCCTCCCCAGTGACAAATGAGTGTTAGAGGCGGGTATGGGTTTTTTGTGCAAAGTATTATCTCAGTTCTTCACAACATCGAACCAAAGAAACAAGATAAGTAATCCTCTAAGAAAAGAGTATGAGGACACTTCTCACCCTCTGTCTTTGACTACTATATCACATTCAACACAGACTGTGACTATATTTAACGTGGCTTTTAGCTGATTAGTAATCACATATTCACTGCACTTCAGTATTTTGTTGTAAGAACTGACTTTGCTGAACTTGCAGGTGAAAGAACCCTAAGTATTTAGGGTTATTTATTTAGAGACTATCTATAGCAGTGAGGGCTTGATATAGGAAAACCCTTCTAATTCTCTTTCCTCTCTCTTGGGATAAGTACCCCATGAGCTGGCATGCTGCAGAAGCGTAGCATTGTGTGCCGGAATTAATAGTCCTTACGGAGAGTATGAGGCATCTCTGACGTGTGTGCAGTGTTACAGCTACCCTGTCGTCCTCTTAGCAGTTTCACTGACATCACTGCTAAAATGAGATTAGGGACAGTCTTCTGCCCACAGTCTAATTCTCTTCTTTACTATAAAGTTCACAGCTTTTTCTGAATTGCTTCTCTGCCTTTTTTTTTTTTCATCAGAATTGAAAAAGATGCTCCACAACATGGACAGTCTGGCTGCTCAAAGGTACATTTTGCTCCCTGGAAACACAGAATATCCTGCCTTTGGAAAGGGAAGAATTACTTGTGACTCAGCCTAAGTGAGGGAAAGCAGCAAAAATTACCTTTGACTGAGTGCACTCGTTGTACCTGTACACCTACTGAGATTTGGCTGACTTGCTGGATTTGCACCCAGTGTGTCTAAACAGCTTTCTGATCAGGTGTAACGCAATATAGGTTTTTATCTTTGCAACACTTCCAAAGGCATTGCCAATGCTTTCATTGCCTTCAATAGCTGTGTCCTCTCTTCACTTTTTCAAATATAACTATGATGTGTTAAAAAACAGAAGAGAAAATGCTGGTGGTATAAAACAGTGCTTATGCTGCTATGCTGAAGGATCCAAAAGGAACAAGGGATTCTCAGTGAAAACAAACAGTGAGATTCTGGAGCATCAAATATTGCTACATTATCATTCACTGATCACTGCCATCATTGCTTTGGCACCTCAGCATAACCATGATGCCAATTCTTTTTTTTTAAAAAAATGCAAATTATTAATCAATATCTGCAGAGAGAATCCTTGGCAATTCCTTCATATCTATCAGCATTGCCTGAGGAGGGGACATGACATACCTTGAAAAGAAGAGCTGTGAGTTCTACATGATGGCATGTGCTAAAGAAACAAGAACCCTCAAGAGAGAGGCCAGCTAGCAAGTATACATTTAGTTTTCATTTAGAACTACTATTTTCTTGCCATCACAATTTTGGCCCAGTTCCTTGTTCCTTCAACACCTCATTCACATGCTAAAATTTTGCAGTAAATGTTTTTGTGTGCAAAATTATGCCAGATTATGTAAGAGGCATCAAGGCATCTGTGCCTCAGAGCCAGTATTCATTATGCAAGAAAGCGAATAAACAGAATGCATGTGCACATAATATGTAGTGATACAGCCTGAATTTTAAATGATTTGCGACTACTCTTATTATTGATATTCATAATGTGACAATTTCTGGATCCATAATCAGGCAGTAACCTCCCAGTAACCTCCGCTATGGTAATTATGTGATGAGATCTATGGAATTCAAATTATAATGGTGATATTAGGATGAAATTCAAGCTTGTCCTATGGTTACAGCTGTGGTATAGCTGGGTACCTGGGCTGACCCAGCACATTGAGTCATCAATGCCCAGGTTGGCCCAGGGATTCCACAGTAAGATGAGGTGATGGGCTGAACCACTGGCCAGTTTCCCAGCAAAACAGCTGTTCGACAGTTACAGGAGTTCTCCAAGTGGGAATTGTGGACAGTTTGGGAGATTTCCCCAGGTAGCTCCTGCTGTGCATACACCAGTTAAGATACACTACTTGTATACTTAAGATGCGTTCATTAATTCCCTGAGAGGAGAACCTGTCAGTCTCAGGCATCTCCCCAGGCAGCTCCTGCTGTTGAGATGACCAAACTGCACACAGATCATTTAAATCATCAGTAGAAACTGTGCAGAAATGATCACATAGAACAGGCTTTTGTGCACAGGTAAGGCAAAGATGTTTTGTACATACTGTAAGATAATCAGAAACAACGGACCACAGGCCAGCTGGCTTGTAAGAATCCAGCAACACAGCAGTTCAGGGAGTCTCATCCGCTACAGCTGAAGATGCTGCTGCAAGGATGGTTGCAACAGAGACTCCCATCGCCACCCGGACAGTGTCGGGCTGTTCTCTTTGGGAGATCTGACTCTGCATGTGACCTTTATTCAGGGATGCTGGGCTTTTTAACATACACTCTTCCTGTGCCTATGCAACAAGTATAAGGCAAACAGTTAAACAAAATGACTCAACACCTCATTTTAGTAATTTTGATAAGAAAGAGAGGGGGAGGGAGAAAGGGAGAGCAGAAGAAGGAGAGGAAGGGAAGAAACAAAGAAATAAAGAAAGAGAAAGAAACCAGCCAGCCAACCAACCAAGCATGGCATCTAGATTAATATCCAATAATCTTGTAGTGAGGTAGCTGTGGTGCTATAAGAGTATATATCATTTAATTCATCAATATTTTAAGTAACTTTTGCTGTATAATAGATTTCTAAGTCGGCCTCTGATTAGTAGTCATTGTCTGGTTAATAAACAAAGATACTTGCTATTAGTTTGCAGATAATGGTTAAGCAAAATTGAATTTTTAAAAAGGTGACCAAAACCCATGTGTGTGGCTCTGGAAGAGGCCATTTGGAAAGCTGAAGGCTAGGCAGAAAGCACTGCATATTTAAAGAGAGTTTCTGTGTACTTTAGACACAGAGGGGGAGGAAGGGAGGTATGAAGTCAAGGAGTTATGGTACTTCAAAGATGTACAAGGAGTGAAAAATGCAACAATTTCTTCTGCCTCAGGTCCTCCCTGTTGGTACCCTATTCCACCTTTGACTTTCTTCTGTACAACTTGCATTTAAGCCTTTTCATATTTGTAGGTCATATAGCATGTACATCATATAGAAGTATGTCTGTGAAGGTCTCCATGGGTGTATCTGGACTAAAATCCAAAAGTATGACTGTAGCCCGTAGACACATAGCCAAGCTTGCTTACTCCAATTAGAATTTAGGTACAATATAGCACAGCTACAACAGCGAGCAATCCCAGTGTGGGCTATGAAACCTTAGCAGGATCCTGAGTGAATATTTGATCCTGTGTGATCTCATGCTGTGCAGGGCACTAGTAAATGGGAAGTCAATATCTACACCTTGATTTTCCAGTCATTGCATTTACCCTGATGCACAGTATGTTGCTGTGGTTGCCAGCATGAGATCTAATCAAGAATTTGGAATAGGTATTTTACATTGCACGAGAGTAAGTAACTTTACATAGGAGAACAGGAGTTCAGCAACATTAAATCATGAGTTATACACAGTTGTGTGGTTGTAATTCCACTTGTTCTTGAGTAAGAGAGCAGCTTGGATCACAGCGTTACTCATCACCCCGCAAGGCAAAATTCTGCACCAGGATGTCACGGAGCTCCTACGGCCTGCAAGCGCCCGGGGCAGCGGAGCCTGACACAACAGTGGACCTGGCGGCTTCTTTCAGACTGTGCTGTGTGGGTGGAGGGGTCTTTATGCATCCCAAAATCACCAGTGGGTGTTAAGCTGACTAGCAAGAAAATACCTCATAATATATACAGAACATTCATTTAACACCCTAAATATGAGGTGGATACTGGGGGTGGAAGTGATCAAGATTTTACTGCCAGAAACCCTGTGAAAACAATATTTAGCAATTCAAGTAAGTTCGTGCCACTTTCTACTTAATGCTCGAGGGAACACCAGAGCTGGCAGTCGGTAATTACTTCTGTGCAGAAACAGAGTTTGACACACACTATTAGAATTCTTTAAGCAAGTTAAAAGAAAGTCTGACGGTTCCACGACAAAACCGCTTAAAGCATGTACCTCTGAAAGGAGACAAACAGCGTGTTCAAAAAACTTTGAGCTCCTTATCAGTATTAGATGTGTGAGAGAGTGCAATTCCAAAAGCTCAAACAGTCAGACCTTACCTGTGCTAGATCTTGTAACTGGCAGCCTTTTACAATTTGATACATGAAAACATCACGGTGGGTTCCTGCTCACAGTCCAGGAGGTGAATGAACGTAACCTTTGCCACCTTCCTCTCCTTTGCAAGCAGACTCAGACTTACACGTACATTTGTGTTAGCGTTAGGGAAAAGAGAATAAACCTGAAGTCCTGTGATAAATGTCTCTATGTGCAGATATCACAGAAAAATGGGATCTGATGGTTCTGCTACCCCCCTCTGTAGAATAGTTCCAGTACAGAAAGAATAAAATTCTCATTTCTGTACATGTTGAACACCTACACAAACCTATTTTATAGAAACTTCTCATACAGAGAATATAGTTATATAAAAAGCAACAGCAAACCAGACTGCTCATATGTATAACACAACAGATTTTCCCTCTGTTTTTAATGTCTGTACAGCTTATGTATCTTGAACAGATGTTGTGACCTTTTTTCTGCACTGCTGCTTTCTGTTATAACCAACTAGCAAGACTTAAAATGACCGCTGAATTTCCTGCTGCATATGATACAGGAACTATTTTTAATACTGCAAATCTTTTGCATGATTCATGCTAATCAAAATAATTATCTTGTCTCGTAGAGGGTTGCTGTTTTTTACCTGAAACTGTGTGATCCTTTGGGTCTCTCAGTAGTTTGAGCCTTGCATGAGGGAAAATGTACTGCAGGGGCTTCCCATTTATCTGAGGAACACAAATATGCATGTCATAAAAAGATAAAACAACTTCAATTGTATCAATAGTTTTCCACAGTTGAAACAGAAACAAGCAAACAAACTTATTTCATCCAGGGAAATACCACAACTTCACAACTCAAATACCCGCCCCCCGCCAAGTTTTAAGACATTTGTCAGACTGCAAAATCATTCTGCAGGGGAATGAATATTTTCTTCCATAAAGCCAGATTAATTTTGAATATGGCTTTGGTTCTGATTTTTATTTCCTAATGACTAGAATGTGGTCCCTGTCTTCTGTAGCTTCTCTTAACATTAATCCTTTGCCCAAGTGATGTTCAAGAGAAGAATGAAATTAAATATAATTCCTGTAATTATTATAAAATCCTGTTAATACAGACCTAAAAAAATGGCAGTTGAATGTGTAAACAGCCATGAGTTACTGCTTTACTTTCAGCAAAATCACATATTCCAATATACCTTTTGTCGTCAAATTTCAAAAGCTTTTTGAAAGATCCAACCTAAAACTTTTAGGATTACATTTTATATGAAATGCATCTCTACAACATGCACTAAAGAGCCGTTTCCAGCTGGGATGATCCCACCTGCCCCACGACACGGGCACAGGAGGGGCCATGCAGCAGGGACTAACCCGCTGGCCAGGGACGATCGCCTTGAGTCCACACCAAAACACCTTTGCAGAAAGAG